GAGAAGACAAACAACGAAAACGAGCGGACTGAAATCGAGCAGAGAGAGAACGAATACGAGCAGAATGAATACGAGCAGAAAGAGAATGAGTACGAGCAGACTCAGTACGAGCAGAAAGACAGCGAAAACGAGCGGACTGAATTCGAGCAGAGAGCGTGCAGAAAAAGCACGAATACGAGCAGAAAGAGAACGAACACGAGCAAAATGAATATGAGCAGAAAGAGAACGAATACGAGCAGAATGATTACGAGCAGAGAGAGAACGAAGACGAGCAGACTGAAATCGAGCAGAGAGAGAGAGAGCGAATACGAACAGAATGAATACGAGAAGACAAACAACGAAAACGAGCGGACTGAAATCGAGCAGAGAGAGAACGAATACGAGCAGAATGAATACGAGCAGAACGAGAACGAACACGAGACGAGCAGATCATAAAAAGAACGAATACGAGCAGAATGAATACGAGCAGAAAGAAACGCATACGAGCAGAATGGAAACCAAGCAGAATGACAAAAAACACGAGCAGAATGAACAAATGAGGTTGGAGGACAGGGCTTGCTGAGGAAAAATGAGAACTTTATATTTCTTAATGTTTTGGGATTCTCTGGGTGGGTGGGTTTTTTTCTAGAGTCCAGACAACGGCTCTACTAGAGATTGCTCGACCCAGAGCTGCTGAACCCTAAACCCTAAACCCTAAACCCTAAACCCTAAACCCTAAACCCTAAACCCTAAACCCTAAACCCTAAACCCCAACCCTGAACCTAAACCCACCAGGGCCGAAGTTTTGGCACTCTTCAGGGTCTATGTTTCAGGGTGCCAAGGGTATAGGGTTAGGGTTTAGGGTTTAGGGTTTAGGGTTTAGGGTTTAGGGTTTAGGGTTTAGGGTTTAGGGTTTAGGGTTTAGGGTTTTACAGGATTTGAGAACCTAGTCTCTGTGGGAGGTAGAGGCGCTTCTCCACGCACCGCTCGATCCGGCCGCCTGCGCTGCACCTGGTACAGGGTGGGGCCCCCTAGTTATAAGTAGAGTTATAAGGGCCCCAAATTGGGTTATAAGGACCCTAAGTTAGGTTATATGTCCCTTAACTACAGTTAGTATAGTAAGGGGGCCCCACCCTGTAGTTGACCAGCCTTCGGCTTTATCACCCTATATAAGACCTGCATGTCCCTCATTACTTGGGAACCCAAACCCTAAACCCCAAACCCTAAACCCTAAACCCCTTAAACCCCTTAAACCCCTTAAACCCCTTAAACCCCTTAAACCCCTTTAATTACTTAGGAGGGATTCTAGCATCCCCTACCTACTGAGGACGTCTGCTAGGAGAAGGGGAACATCCCAACCTGTTGCCCTAAACCGTCAATGATTGAAGGTTGCAGTACCTGCTCGTCAGCACCCCTACACCCTTCCCGAAAGTTGAATTGGCCTCTACGAGCCCTAGAACCTTTATGGCTATAACCCTAGAAACCCTGCAGAACCCCGAAAACTATGTAAAGCTGTAAGCTCTAAACCCTGAACCCGTTCTTCTTGGGAATAGTAGTCCACAAAACACATGCAACCCTTAAACCCGAGCAAGGTCACGTGACGCATCTTTAAAATTCGGAGCGCTTTCAGTGCCGAGCTCGCAAGATAATTAGCCCCTAGCAGGCCACATGCTCAAAAGTTTTATGTTTCAGGGTTTTAGGGTTTAGTGTCTAGGGTTTAGGGTTACTGGTGTAGGGTTGTTGAATCCAACACCTCAACTGCCGAGGACAGCGTGTCCAACCCGCTGGGGCAGACGGCCCTGATACGCGCGGTGCCTTCCAGCAGCTTTGGTGCCCAGCAGTACCGGAAATCATCGGAAAACCCTAAACCTTAAACCTTAAAACCTATCTACTTTTCATGGGTTGGGTGGCCTGAGTTTAGGCAAGGTAAGGGCCCCTTGTGAGGGACGATATAGGTTAGGGGTCTAGGGTTTATAGAGGTTAGGTCCCCTTGCAAACCCCGGTATACTACGAAAAGCTGACCCATTCCTAAACCCTAAGCCCTAAACCCTAAACTCGAAACCCTAAACCCCAAACCTTAAACCCTAAACCCTAAACCCTAATCCCTAAACCTCAACCCTAAACCCCAAACCCCAAACCCTGAACCCAAAGCCCCAAACCCTCAACCCTAAACCTTAAACCCTAAACCCTAAACCCTAAACCCCAGGCAATGTCGCATGCATCCGCCCGCTGCTCGAAGCTCGGGCCAGCGTGGACAAGACCGACAGGCTCAAAAACTCCAGACTACCAAGGGTGCAGGGTTTAGGGTTTAGGGTTTAGGGTTCAGGGTTTAGGGTTAGGGTTCAGGGTTTAGGGTTTGGGTTTAGGGTTTAGGGTTTAGGGTTTAGGGTTTAGGGTTTAGGGTTTAGGGTTTAGGGTTTAGGGTTTAGGGTTTAGGGTTTAGGGTTTAGGGTGAGGGTTTAGGGTTTAGGGTTTAGGGTTTAGGGTTTAGGGTTTTGGGTTTTGGGTTTTGGGTTTAGGGTTTAGGGTTTAGGGTTTGAGGTTCAGGCATTGAAACCATTGCAGGGTTCAGGTCCGGGGAAGTTTCGAAGAGCTTCGACCGGATAAGTTTGTCCTTTTCGAACTTTAGCATAAGCTTCAAGTTACACAGGGGCTTGAGGATGCAAAGTTCAGGATTGCGGGCTCTACAACTTGCCGAGGCCATTGTTGCACTGCGAGGTCTTTCCTAGCTCTTCTCTTTCGTGTAGTCTCAATGGTCTTGTGTAGACAGTTACATGCCCTAAACCCGAAACCCTAAACCCTAAACCCTAAACCTTCAACCTTCAACTTACTTGCGAGGCTGGGAGGCTCAGCCGTGCTGTATGCTGTGGATCGGCCGCGCATCGACGTCCTCCGTCTGCTGCTGGAGGCACGCGCAGACGTGAACAACGGCGAGACACTGAAGAAGCTGTGGGCAGGAATTATAGGGTTCTTAAGGGAGGGTTTGGGAATTAGGGTTTAGGGTTTAGGGTTTAGGGTTAGGGTTTAGGGTTTAGGGTTTAGGGTTTAGGGTTTAGGGCTTAGGGTTTAGGGTTTAGGGTTTAGGGTTTAGGGTTTGGGGTGGGTTTAGGGTTTAGGAGTCAGGGTTCAAGTGGGGTAGGTACCTAGGGAACCTTAGGGCGCCTGAGGGAGTAGTAGGGAGTATTAGGGAACCCTGGGTTACATAAGTGGAGTGACTCCTGCTAGCCCAGTATGCCCTTTCCCCTTTTTTTTGGTTCTGGGTTGTCTTGTAAAGTAGCCAACCCCAAAAAGGGTGCCCTTATGATAGCGTGCTTTACTGGGCTACCAAGGGCTTTAGGGTGTAGATCCGTAGAATGCTAGCACGAGCAGAAACCACTGCAGACTCTAACCCTAAACCTTAAACCCGGAAAATGGAGTAATTATGGACATCGCTTGCCGCCTCCAAAAGCAAGGAAGAACCGACCGCCCCTTCTCCATGCATCTGCGTCGCCTGGCCGCCGAGAACATTTTGATAGTGAAGTAAGGGGGGGCTGAATTCCTCAGTTTAGGGTTTAGGGTTTAGGGGATTGGGCGTTGGGGTTTAGGGACGTAAGGTTTTCGATTTTGGTTCGGGCGGGGGCTGTAATGTAGTGGGTCAACCCAATTAACCCTCCACAGCATAGGCTCCACATTACCCCAAGTTCTTAGGGTAGTTGCAGGGTCCCTTAGTATGAGCCCTGAGATGTTACTGGCGCCCTAAGCCCCACTAACACTCCCAATCCCCTCAGAGCCCCGAAGACCCTGGTGCTTCTTCTACGGTTTTGGGCCCCGATGCTCTGGAGCAGTCTAGGTGCGGGCGGGCGGAAGTGGTGAAGATGCTGCTCGAAGCTGGGGCGGACATGCACAAGGTGAGGGGGTTCAGGGTTTAGGGTTTAGGGTTCAGGGTTTAGGGTGCATGCTCCGACGAAACAAGAGCCTGAGACCCAAAACTACCCCCGAAAATATCCAAGTTGAGATGCCCTGGGCCCGTATGGGCCGCTAAGGAAACGATGCTGGGAGGGGGGGACCGGTTCTCTCAGCTCGAATTCCGGCCCTAAACCGAAAACTTGAGCTTAGGGCCAGTTTCGGGGGGGGGGGGGGGGGGGGGGGGGGGGGGGGCGTTTGACAACGTACCTATGCAAAAAGCCCAAGCCTCATGTTTTGTAGGTTACTGAAGGATTCTTCAGAGGAGATGTATACTCGCAATCCACAAAACATCGGTGTTGGGTTCATGAGGCACGATGTATGGGTTGAAGTTGGGCTAGGGCGCGGTGTTCAGGGTTTAGCAAATTTTGGGGTTGCAGCATTCTGTTTTCTAACGTGTTGTATCGAGGGTTTAGGTTTTAGGGTTTGGGGTTTAGGGTTCATAAGGGTTTATAAGGGTTTTATAAGGGTTTATAAGGGTTTATAAGGGTTTATAAGTGTTTATAAGTGTTTAGGGTTTAGGGTTTAGGGTTTAGGGCCTTTAGGGTTTAGGGTTTAGGGTTTAGGGTTTAGGGTTTAGGGTTTAGGGTTTAGGGTTTAGGGTTTAGGGTTTAGGGTTTAGGGTTTAGGGTTTAGGGTTTAGGGTTTGGGAAGCTAGGGCCTCTGTTCAGGTGAATCGGCGAGGTCAGTCGGCACTTTGGTGCACGGCTTCCGGTGGCCAGGTTCAGATGTAATAGCTTTAGGATTTAGGGTTTGGGGGGTTAAGTTACTAACTTAACCCCCCAAACCCTAAATCCTAAAGCTATTTTTAGGGGTTTAGGTTTCAGGATTTAGGGTTTAGGGGTTAAGTTAGGGGTTTAGGGTTTAAGGTTTTGGGTGATGTAGGGTCTTCAAGATTAGGGGGTTCTAGGGTTTGGGGGTTATAGAGAGAGTGCAGGGCTTTGGGAGTGTCAAGGACATGGGTGATTTAGGGCGTCTTCAGGGTTAGGGTTTGGGGCTTATAGGGTTGAGGGTTTAGGGTTAAGGGCAGTTTAGGGTTTTCGTTTTCGGTTCGGATCCCTCTAAGGCCCCAAGTATACAAGTAGTGCCAACTTACTTGCTGGTCGCAAGACCTATGTTGGGTTAAAACCTTAGGGCTTAGAACCAAGAAGCCTTGCCCTAAGTCTTAAATAAACACAGAAGCCCAAGAGGTGGTAGAGCCCTAAACCCTAATCCGACCCAATCCCTTAGCCCTTATCTGTGGTAACTACGGCTCTTGGGCAAAAACAGTCTTCAAATAAGGCTGAGTCTAGGGGGAACTTGGGGGCAAGAGGTCGTTTAGGGTTTAGGGTTAGAGGGTTTAGATCGTTTCGAGGGTTTAGAGGGTCTCTGGGGCTTGTAGGGTTTATAGGGTTTTTAGGGGTTTTCGAGTTTGGAGGGTTAGAGGCTTTCGAGGTCTCAAAGGGTTTATGGGGTTTGCAGGGTTTATAGGGCTCATAGGGTTTACAAGGTTTAAGTTTAAGTGTGGGGTTGGGATATTCCCCCGTATACTAACAGTCCTTATTCGGGATTCTCGTACCCCCTCATTAGAATCCCGATAAAGGACGGCTAAGACAATGGAGAACATCCCAAAGCTTAGGGCTTAGGGTTTAGGGTTTAGGGTTTAGGGTTTAGGGTTTAGGGTTTAGGGTTTAGTGAACTCCCAGGTGGCCATGTGGAGACACTTCGGCTGCTGATCGAGGCGAGGGCGGACCTGGACCAGCCAGATTCTGATCCACGGTAGAGCATTGACTTTGAGCTTAGAGCTTATAGGGTTTATAGGATTTAGGGTTTAACTCTAAACCCTAAACCCTAAACCCTAAACCCTAAACCCTAAACCCTAAACCCTAAACCCTAAACCCTAAACCCTAAACCCTAAACCCTAAACCGATACTTTGCTGGCTTTGGAGCTTGTGGGGCATGATCAAAACACTCCGCGCAAGCCATGAAGTCCACTTGAAAGCCTGGGACCATAAGGTCCTGGATCTTCGGGTTTGTGGGTTTAGGGTTTCGGGGTTTAGGGTTCAGGGTTTAGGGTTTAGGGTTTCGAGGTTTAGGGTTCAGGGTTTAGGGTTTAGGGGTTTCGGGTCTAGGGTTTTGCGGTTCGCAGGGCTCAGGGGGATCAAGTTCTTGGCGGCTGAGTTCCGTCGACGAGGGGGCGAAGTCCTAAAACCGTGAACCGCACTCTTGAAGCGCGCGCCTATATGCCACTCAAATCCTACAACCCCCGATCCCTGTAAACCCTCAAACCCTCAAACCCTCAAACCCTCAAACCCTCAAACCCTCAAACCCTAAACCCTAAACCCTAATGAACCCTGAACCCTAAACCCTAAACCCTCACTCCTGCTTCTCTTTCTGCTCAGGAAGGCACCACCCCGCTGGCAGTAGCCGCAGGAGCTGGCCACGATGCCGTCGCGGTTTGGTGGCAAGATCGACAGATCTCACCATAGTATTCAACAGTTTCTGTCCCTAAACCCTAAACCCTAAACCTTATAAACCCTAAACCCTAGAACCTTGAGGGCCTTACAGGGTTCATACGGGGTTGAAGTATCGGCAGCAGATCGCGATGGGGGAGTTGGGGTTTAGGAGACTTATAGGCTTGCGAGTTTAGGGTTAAGCCCTACACCCTAATGCAGGTTCGGCATTTACCCCGCCATTATGCCGGCTCAACATGTCCCACGAACCTCACACAGTGTGGTTTCCAGGTACCAAAAACTTAGGGGGAAGAGTCCCTAAACCCTAACCCTAAACCCTAAACCCTAAGCCTTAAAGCCTAAACCCTAAACCCTAAAGGGGCGTCAGGAGTTAAGGGGGACTTGATGTCTCTTGCAGGATTAGGAGCCCATAGTTGTGCTTCAGGGTTTAGGGTTTAGGGTTTAGGGTTTAGGGTTTAGGGTTTGGGGTATGGCAACTTGCGCGTGCTCACCTGACCCTCGGCCAGTATCTGCAGCAATTGCCGATGTTCTTCCTAGTATCTCTAACCCTAAATCCTACACCCATACTGCCTAGTCATGGGCGTTTTAGGGTTTAGGGTTCAGGGTTTAGGGTGCAGTCGGAGGTTAATGCCCTTTTGGCTGCGGGCGCCCAACTGGTGATCTCCCTACTGGTGGTGGCCTGCAAGCAGGGCCACGCGGAGGCAGGGTGTAGGGTTTAGGGTTTAGGGTTTAGGGTTTAGGGTTTAGGGTTTAGGGTTTAGGGTTTAGGGGGCTTGTTCTTCAGAGCTTCAGAGCTTCATGCTTTGGGGGTTAGGGTTTAGGGTCTAGGGTTAAGGTTTAGGGGTTCTGAGTTTAGTCCTTTCAGCTTCAGGGTTCGGGGTGCAGGACAAGTTTGTGTGGGGATGTGTAGTTGCGTTGGGTTCAGGGTCTAGGTTATTGGGGCATAATGAAACCCTAAGCCCAAGAAACCCCAACCTTAACCCTAAACCCCAAACCCCAAGCCCTGAACCTCAAACCCTACACCCCAAGCCCCAAGCCCTGAACCTCAAACCCTACACCCCAAGCCCCAAGCACTCAACCACACACCCTAAACCCTAAGCCCAACCCCCAAGCCCTAAACCCTAACCCCCAACCCCCAAGCCCTAAACCCTACACCCTAAATCCCAAACCCTAAACCCCAAGCCCTCAACCCCAAACGCCAAGGCCCTACACCCCAAACCCCAAACCCTAAACCCTAAACCCTAAACCCTAAACCCTAAGCCCTTAGCCCGGCAGGTGGCCTCCACGTTACTCGCCGCAAGATGCTCCACCGACTGCCGCGGTGAGAACGGCCTGTCGCCACTGACTGCGGCCTGCCACTTGGGGGGACAAGATGTGCCGGGTTTAGGGTTTAGGGTTTAGGGTTTAGGGTTTAGGGTTTAGGGTCTGTGAATCTACGATGCTACTGGTTGTGTGTTGTCGTTCATGGATGTTTGAACTGTCAACTTTGCATACTCATCGAAGCCTCACATCTCAAGCCCTAAAGCCTCAGACATTATAATGCAGCCTGTAAATGCGGTCGGCTTTCAACCCGTCAGCCCATAGTCAGCGTCGACTCACCCCAAAGCAGTTCCTGCACAGCTGCTTCACGGTAGCCCAGTGGTACCCTTTACCCATTTCTTGGCTCCGGGTTCCGTTTTAAAGTAGAACAACCAACCAAAAAAGTTTGAACCCTAAGTGCTCGGACTGTTTGCGTCAGACTCGTATGTACCTTTCCCGCCCACTAAACTCCAAACCCTTAACCTTCAGCTGAGGTTTAGGGTGTAGGGCAGACATGGTCATGCTTTCCGGTTTCCCCAAACCCTGTGTCCTCGGTTCAGAGTTTAGGGTTTGTTGTGCAGGGGTAAAGTCTTCCTTGTACCCAGATCCTAGACTTCTCCGTTTTTGCACTTCCCCAAGATTACCCTTAAGCGCCCCAGAAGGGTGTCGAAGGTCTGACCGTGACCGGGTGAACGGGCTGACCGGATCCGGTTGACCGGATCCGGTCGGCCTGGCTGGCTGACCGGACTGACCTGACCGGCTGGCCGGACTGACCCGACCGGGCTGACCTGACCGGGCTGACCGATCCGAGCGACCGGACTGACCTGACCAGACTGACCTGACCGGGCTGACCTGACCGGGCGGGCTGACCTGACCGAACTGACCGGGCGACCGGACCGACCTGACCAGGCTGACCTGACCGGGCTGACCTGACCGAACTGACCGACCTGACCGGGCGACCGGGCCGACCTGACCAGACTGACCTGACCGGGCTGACCTGACCGAACTGACCGACCTGACCAGACTGACCTGACTGACCGGGCTGACCCGACCGAACTGACCGACCTGACCGGGCGACCGGACCGACCTGACCAGGCTGACCTGACCGGGCTGACCTGACCGAACTGACCTACCTGACCGGGCGACCGGGCCGACCTGACCAGACTGACCTGACCGGGCTGACCTGACCGAACTGACCGACCTGACCAGACTGACCTGACTGACCGGGCTGACCCGACCGAACTGACCGACCTGACCGGGCGACCGGACCGACCTGACCAGGCTGACCTGACCGGGCTGACCTGACCGAACTGACCGACCTGACCGGGCGACCGGGCCGACCTGACCAGACGACCTGACCGGGCTGACCTGACCGAACCCATGCTCAAGCGCCCAAAGTCGAATTGGTGTGGGTTAGTCCTATGTAGGGGATTTGATGCGAAGAAACAACCGGTTAAAAGAACAAACTCCTGAACAATCGAAGCTGGTCTTGTCCCTCTTTCAGCGGACGGCTACGGGAATCGCCCCCCACGAAGTATTCTTATGGCACCCGGAAGACTGGACTTAACAGCGGATGTCACCCCTAAACCCTAAACCCTAAACCCTAAACCCTAAACCCTAAACCCTAAACTCTAAACCCCAAGGCCTTCCGAAAATAATCCTCCAAGGTCTTTCTGGCGAGGTCGCCGTGGTGCAGACGCTGCTGAGTGCCGGCGCGGCCCAGAACGACTTGGATGGCGTCTGCGCAGCATTGAAGGGCTGGTTCGGGTTGAGGGTTTGGGGCTCTCAGACATGAGTTTGTTTTTTGTTAAACCCTAACCGTTAGGGTTTAGGGTTTAGGGTTTAGGGTTTAGGGTTTAGGGTTTAGGGTTTAGGGCTTAGGGTTTAGGGTTTAGGGTTTTGGGTTTTGGGTTTTGGGTTTTGGGTTTTGGGTTTTGGGTTTAGGGTTTAGGGTTTAGGGTTTAGGGGTGCTTGAGCACTTGCAGACTTCGGGTTCGGTGCTCTCGGGCTTGTCCGGCTTATGGGGCTTAGGGCTTATACAGGGGTTGGTGTAGTTCGGGGGTGCTGGGTTCTCTAGGGCTTGTTGGGCAAACAAGTTCAGTATTTGGAGGCTTTAAGGGGCTTTTGGGGCTTAGAAGCAGCTTTTGGTCTCTGGTGGCCGCTAGCAAAAGCGACCCGAAAGCCTACACCCTAAACCCTAAACCCGAAAGCCTGCTACAGTCGCGGCCGATGGAACCCGAAACCCTAAACCCTAAACCCTAAACCCTAAACCCTAAACTCTAAACCCTAAACCCTAAACCCTAACTGGGTTTAGGGACTCTTGGCCGCGAGGCTCAGGGGACTCGCCACTGTCCACTGCCTGCAAGGCAGGGCACGCCGAGGCCCCTGTGCTGGCACCCCGAAAGCCCTGCAAAGCAGGGTTTAGGGTTTAGGGTTTAGGGTTTAGGGTTTAGGGTTTCGGGTTTCGGGTTTCGGGTTTGGGGTTTGGGGTTTGGAGTTTGGAGTTTGGGGTTTCGGGTATGGGGTATGGGGTATGGGGTTTGGGGAACTGTTTTAGGGTTTAGGGTTTTTCAAGAAGTAGAAAGCCATGTTTACCTATGTGTACGGTTGTTTGCCTAAGCTCCTCCCTGTTTGAAGGTTGAGGGCTTTAGGCTTACAGGGTTGAGGGGGCCCTAAACCCTAAACCCTAAACTGGTTCAGGCGTTTGGGCGTCGGGCTTCAGGGCTTACGGCTCCAGCGTTGAGGTTCGAAGGCTTCATTGCTTTGGCGATGTTTACAGTTTCGTGACGTGATTTTGTGGTTTTGTTCCTGTTTGGGGTTGGGTTGGGGGCTTGTTGAGCTCGACTCTTTGGGTATCTTCTGACATTGTGAAACTTCGAAAGAAAAACTCAGACAAGGTTTGTAACGGTAACGCCCGTCACCCCTTTGATTCCCAAAAGCTCAAAAGACCGCCCCCATCCCCCCCCCCCCCCCCCCCCCCCCCCCAACACACCATGAAAGCCTCAAGCCCCCCCCCGCACAGCTTCAGCCACGTGGTCCTAATCCGTAAAGCCGAAACCCAAGACCCAAGACCCTAAACCCTGAACCGAAACCCTAAAGCCTAAACCCTAACCCTAAACCCTATACCCCTAAACCCCTAAACCCCTACACCCCTAAACCCCTAAACCCCTAAACCCCTAAACCCCTAAACCCTAAACCCTAAACCCTAGACCCCTGACCCTAGACCCTAGACCCTAGACCCTAAACCCTAAACCTAAACCCAAACCCTAAACCCTAAACCCTAAACCCTAAACCCTAAACCCTAAACGTAAACCCTGAAACCCTAAACTCTAAACCCCACCAGATTCCAGGTGGTCGGCTGCCTGCTGAAGTCTGCTGCAGACCCAAACCGACTGGATGGTTCTGGGATTTCGCCCTACCAGAAGATCTCCAATTTGTGGCTTGGTCCTTGAACTCCAGACCGCTTTTTTTGAGCTAGACCCTTTTGGGTGTACGGTTTAGGGTTCTTATTTCAGGGTGTTTTCTGAACCCAAAGGCCATACTCTGCAAGGTTTTTTGGTGCTATTTTGAGCATAAGCCTGTATGTGAGTCAGTTCCGTGTGCCACCAGCCTGTGAAGCATAGTTGCCCTGGGCCCTAAGCCCTAAAGCCTACCGCGTAAACCATAATATGGTTTTGGGTATATGTACATAAATTTTCTTTATGTAGCTATCTATATTACAGATAACCCTTCTCCCGGATGGTCACTGCTCTAAAGTATGCGGCCTTTTTGGGTATGTGTACATATTTTTCATGTGTATATATATATATATATGTAAATAGCTTTATACTACTCTCTCTCTCTCTATATATATATATATACATATATGAATACATATATCTGTTTATATTTATTTGTTTTTGTATTTAGTATTTGCTTATCTGTAGACATAGAAGGGTTTTGGTTTACAGAGGGTTGCGGGGCCACCATGTGAAGACCTGCTCAGGTGGAGAACCTCAGAAAGCCAGCTGCTGATCAGGCGCATGCTCCGCAGCGCCGGAGCTGCCACTCACAAGCGGCAGAAGTATCGCCTGGAACGCGCCGAGACATTGGCAGAAAGATTGACGGAAAAGACTCCGTTCGGTATCAGGGCACCCTAAACCCTAAACCCTAAACCCTAAACCCTAAACCCAGATGACTTAGGGTTTTGTTTTTGGAAGATTGGAGTTGAGGGTTCAGGGTTGAGGGATATCTGGGCATTGAGGCTTTTCCTGGCAACCGTGTTTCTTAGGCTTTGTCTGGGGGTTCTTGGGATTCGGGATTTTGAGGTTTTGAGTTTGATGCCCTAAACCCTAAACCCTAAACCCTAAACCCTAAACCCTAAACCTTAAACGCTTATAACTTATAAACCCTAAACCCAAAACCCGATGACTATTGGCCCGAAACCCCTCTGTGCAGTCTGTGCGTTGCCAGTTTCTCTTCAGGGTTGGGCTCCCCTGGATACCACCCCCCCCCCCAAAAAAAAAAAACAAAAACAAAAAGAATATATATCTATAATAATAATAATAATAATAATATCAACAACAAATCTCAAACCCCCGCTGAAGCCTGGGGTTTAGGGTTGAGGTTTTAGAGTTTAGGGTGTAGGGGTTAGGGTTTAGGGTTTAAGAGTAAACCCTGAAGGGTGCATAGGCTTTCTCAACCCGTACGCCTCAAATCGTAAACCCTCCCATCTAGGAAATGACATTGAATCTTTCGATTGGGAATCCGGCGGTTGAGAGTTTTAGCGGTGCATGGTTTGGGGCTTGCAGCGTTTTTTTTTGAGTCTAGGGTTCACCCCTAAACCCTATACCCTAAACCCTAAATCCTAAGCCCCTTCTGTTAAACAGGGACCCTTGAATTGCCAATATGTTCAGAGGCCAAGCAGCCGGCCAAAGTCCAAAGATTTCTGGACTTCCGCCCTGTAAGGTTGAGGGGTTTAGGGTTTAGGGTTTAGGGTTTAGGGTTTAGGGTTTAGGGTTTTCAGGGTTTTCAGGGTTCTCAGGGTTTTCAGGGTTTTCAGGGTTGCCCCTAAGACCCTCCTCACACTTTCCGGGGTTTAGGGTTTTTTTTGGGTTTTGAGGGTTTCAGGGTTTGGGGGCTCAAGTGTTCCCTGAGCCCCCACCCCTCATTCCGAAACCCTAAACACCATGCGGATTCCATGGGAAGGACTATGCCGGGATTCACAGAGCTGAAGCACCCCAGAGTCCTAGCCCCCAAGCCCCTACTATAAGCCATCAACCCCGAAAGGCCCTAAATGAAGCAAATCCGAAACCCTCATCTTTAAACCCTAAACCACCTATAAACCCTAAAGCACTGAACCCTAAACCTCAAACCCCCAAACCCCAAACTCCAAACCCCAAACCCTAAACCCCTATCACCCTAAACCCCAGACCCCAAGCCCCTAACCCAAAACCCTAAGCCCTAAACGCTAAACCCAAACCCCAACCCCTAAACGCTAACCAAACCCTAAGCCCTAAACCCTAAGCCCTAAACCCTAAACCCTAAGCCCTAAACCCTAAACCCTAAGCCCCCTAATCCTCAACCCCAGCTTGCCAGGTCTCTCCTTTGGCGGCCTCGAGTTGAGAAGTCTCCCCTACTTCGCCCCTTGGCTTGGGGTTTAGGGTTTAGGGTTTAGTGTTTAGGGTTTAGGGTTTAGGGTTTAGGGTTTAGGGTTTAGGGCAAGAGCAGAGTTATGTGGCTTTGTGTTTGGGCAGGTTGTCTAGGGGGTCGGATGCCCCTCCACGGTGCCACTTGCGATGTTAAAGGCGACGGCCGAGAGAGAAAGAATGGGGGGGGGGATTGGTGTGGGGTGCAGAAGTATCCCCGCAACGGCAGCCCATGTACACACACATACACGCTATTTACATGGACCCACATATATATATATATACATATACACACACCAGCAACAGTATTTCAAACAAACCTACCCCGCGCCACAGTGCAGCTGAACACACTCATCTCCAAATTCAGTTGGTGTCCGAAGGTGTGTGTGTGTGTGTCTGTTCGTGAGCATGCTTTCTTTATGTCAGACATGGTCTCACCGCACTGCTTTGGTGGTGGCTTGTACTTATGATCCAGAGCAGCTTTGCGTTTGTTGGCTTTGGGGTTTAAGGCACAAAGCTTACGCAGGGGTACGGCAGCATTTGGCCTCAATCTTGGGCAGCTTGCTGACATAGGCCGGTTTCAATCACCTCCAACACCGCGCTATCAGACAGCACAGTGTTCTTCACACAGATGCGCAGCCGAGAAGGCTTTCCCTCTTCCCCATAGCCCCGATTTCCACCCGAAACCTCTACACTAAGCAACCGCATGTTCAAGTAAAGACCTGGAAGTGGAGATTTTGAATCTCATCCGCAATCTCACAAGTCTAATCCCTACCCCAAGCCCCACGTTTACAGTAGAACCTAAATGGTGGTTTCCGAAATTTGGTACCTTATTGGGGTCCTTATACGAATAATAGCAATAGTAAAAACAAGAAGAATAGTAAGAAAATCCTACTATTTGGGATCCCCTATTTTCGTAAACCCCCAAATCTGTCTTAAGCCGTAAGGCCCCCACGCAAAAGAACCCTAAACCCTAAACACTATAAACCCTAAACCCTGCAAACCATAAACCCTATAAACCCTATAAACCCTATAAACCTTATAAACCCTATAAACCCTATAAACCCTGTAAACCCTATAAACCCTATAAACCCTATAAACCCCATAAACCCTAAAGACCCTATAAACCCTATAAACCCTATAAACCCTATGAACCCTAAACCCCTAAACCCCTAAACCCTAAACCCCAAACCCCAAACCCTAAACCCAAACCCAGAAGACCCACAAAAGAGCCCTCAAAGGCACTCCCTGTGTCGGCGGCAGCTACACAGATCCTCCTCTCCGCCTACGACGAGGGTTTTAACAGGCAGACAAGGGGTTTAGGGTTTAGGGTTTAGGGTTGAGGTTTGTTTTTTGTTGGGGCTTCGGGGTTTAGGGTTTAGGGTGTAGGGTTTTGGGGTTTTGGGGTTTAGGGTTTAGGGTTTAGGGTTTGGGGTTTGGGGTTTATGCTTAGGTTTCGGGCTTTTGGGGTTTGGGGGTTTTGGGGGTATTCTGCGTTGAGGGTTTAGGTGCCTCTTGTACCAGTCGTGGGAGCTCGTTTAGAAGGGAACCCCGCCACCCCCAAAACCCGTTTAGGGTTTAGGGTTTAGGGTTTAGGGTTTAGGGTTTAGGGTTTAGGGTTTAGGGTTTAGGGTTGATGATCATCAAAGGCCGGCGAGGCCCCGACAGACATGTCCATGGCAGCAAAGGCTTCGAATTGAGGATTCTTTTTCGGCCAAAAACCTGAGCTTCATGCTGTAAGTACTTTACATGGCTTTCGTCGCCTTCATGGCCTTCATGGCCTTTATCGCCTTCATAGCCTTCATGGCCTTCATGGCTTTCAAGCCCTGTACGTGGCCCCAAGACCACACCCCAAGCTCCGCTTGGGCCATACATCCGCTGAGGATCAGGATATGCACCTTGGCCGCTTGCACTCCTCCTCGATTAACCCCTTCGGGGTTCAATCGCCTTCATACACCGGCCAAAAATCCAGTGTCGATTGTGAATTCATCCAGGCTCACATCCAGCTCGTGGCTCCACCACGCCCAGAAACTGGTATATCATGCAACATTGGCTTGGCTTCATCCACTCCTCGAAAGTCCCAGTCGCCTCGCCTGAACTTCAATCGGAGTGGATCTTGTAGACGATGCACTTGGCGTAGGAGGCGGTTGGTAGTCGGGGTGCTGGGACCCATGCATGAACAGCGTCCTGTCAGTTATGCAGAAATTGCAGTACCGTGCTCGGCAAAGACCTCTGTTCAGACTGCGATTTCTTAGCCCCTCGCAGAACTCATGCGTATGCACCGTCTCACGGTGCTGTGTCATGAAGAAAGGCCCGACGAACCCCCTGAAATCGGACTCCAGAGGATCCGTCTGCACTCCTCGATCCTCCCAACGCCGACTCCTTGCACCTTCCGGTTGTTGACGTGGTACAGGCGGAGGTTGCTTGTCGCCTTGGTTGGACCTTTCACTCAGGCCCTCCTCGACCGCTTGCTCTGCTGCCCTGCGTGCTCGATCTTGTAGTCGCTGCAAACGTCTTGACTGCCTTTGCTCCAGCCTGTCTTCAAACACGAAGCCTGCAATCCACTTCAACCCTTCCCAAACAGCCACTGCAGCGACCACCAAAAGCAAACCCACAAACGTCAGCTCCGGTTGCAAACCATAGTAGGCGACCGCATCATCGCCCTCATCTTCCATGGCCGTTGTTTCCCCAATCTGGATCACCAGCAACAAGCACAGCAGTTTCATCATGCACGCTTGCCTCTGTCTTGTGCCACCAGACTCTGGGATATCGACGAAATTCCACAGCAGGAGCAGCTGTCGCAATCTGTCTTGTCCATGTACCTTTGTCCCAAGGTCTGCCAACTGCGAATGTCCAGGGGTGTGACCAACTGTTAAAGCTCCAGCCACCACCATGTCTCTGACTCCTGCACATCTCACCTTGAGATGACGGGTCCGCCAGCTTCCTGGTCCAGCTCCCAGTAGTCCTTCTGCTGCTGCGTTGTCAACGTGTAGATGACGTTGGGTTGCCACAGCCAGGATCTCATCGATGACGCTTCCAGCACTTTCGGCCAAGACCACAGCCTCTGAGCCAGCAAAAAGCTCTGCTTCCGCCACGCTCACTGTAGCAAACGATTGCTTTCCTGCCTTCCACGTGACCACGCAGTCGTTCACTGTGAACACCGAGGCACCATAGCTTCGCTCTCCATGGGGAGCAAAGCTAGCATCCGAAAAGACTTGTAGTCGAAGGGCTCCCTCAACTTCCCCATCCAACTTCTTGGCTCCTGGCATGCTGTACCTCTCCAGATGTCCAATCGACACAGGCGTTTGCCCACTTCGAGGTTGCCCAACCACCAGCTTCATTTCTGCTGTGCCAGCAACGTAAGCCAGAAGTCTTGTAGCCACCTGCGAAACACGCCGCGGTCGACGGGTTACAGAGGAGGACATCCATCCAACGACATATTGGATGTCTGGTCGTGACCGACTGGTCAGCCACAACAATTCGCCGACTTGGCGTTGCGAACATCGCAACTCCTCCTCACTGTACTCCTCCTGGACGTCATAGTCACCGTCTAGCCATTCACGAGGAACATGCGTGTACATGGCTCGAACATCTGTCATTTCGTGGCTTCGTAGTAGGTCTCGAATGTACCCTCCTTGCCCAATCATGTACTTGCCGTCACGCAGCCAAAGCTCCATTCCAAGGTACCTACTCGGCTCGTCTCCATTGACCCATTCCAGCGGTGATGCGGGCCATTCTTCACGCACCCATGAGTCCACCGCCTTGATCACATCCGGCTCGCCCAGGTACAGGAAATCATCAACATACGTGACTGCCAACCCAACCAGTCGGTTTTGTTCATCCAGTACTCGCCAAACGTCCGGCTCCGAAACCAATTGCTCCAACCTCAAGTGCTGGTCCTTGAACCGTATGCGAGCAGCTCTGAACCTCTTGTTGCGATAGTCGCTCCATAGTGCTGGGCTTTCACGTAGTCCATATAGCGGTCTATCCACTATCCACGTTTTTCCATCACATTCTTCATGAAACCCTGCATTCTGGACCACCTTTGGCGCCTTGATGCCGTACTTTGGGAGGTCCTTTGGCCACTCTGCCAACAAGAAAGCTGATGTGATGTCGCTGATCGCAGCCGCCCACTTCCGTGACCCCGCCACCGACAGAGCGATGCGCACCGCCTCGGCCGACGTTCCCCCAGCATAGACGTCCATGGTGGTCTGATCCGCCGACACGTGGTTTCCACACAGCACAATCCTGCATTCTGCTTGTTTGGTTTTTCCTTTGACCCTTCGCTCAGGCGCTGGGTTCTCCACCTCAAATACTGCCTTGTCCACAAACTCTTCAGGCTGCAGCAAACCTTCCCGCAGGTGAGTGCTCACCACAAAGTATCCGCCAGCGAATCTGACCAAGCTTCCACCATGCACATCGGTTGCTGGTCCCACATAGACTCCAGGGCCCCATTTTGGATCAAATCTCCAAGGCTCCTTAGTGTATCGCTTCTTCTTCACCATGACCTCGGCTCCAAACGGTAAGGCTTCATGTTCTCGCCCATCAAGACGAAGTCGATGCACCCAAGCCGAGTAGTTCATGGCGAGGTACCAGCACGATGCCGGCAGCTTGGCTGAGTAAAGCAGTCTTTGTGCCCAGCCCTTCAACTTTTTGACCGCCGCTTCCGCCCGCCCGTTGGCCTGTGGTGCTTGGCCTTCCGTAAACGACATCAGCACGTCCCTGTCCGCGAACCATTGCTTGAGTTCTTGATGCCTTAGCTCCCGTGCCCTGTCAGCGTGGGCTCGAGCAACTGGAAATCCTTCGGCCCTCACCTCCAGGTAGATTTCCTTCACGAGGGGATGCACTTCTCTTGCCATCCTAGTCCTCATAGGTCTCACATAATACCTGGTCTCATACTCCAGGCCATGTCCCACCTCCACAAAGAGCTTGGCATACTCCTCATCACTCACAGTGTTCGCAGACCGACGGGCTTCGTCTTCATCCTCACCCTCGAGATCTGGCTCTTGTTCAAGGTCCTCCTCGAAGAGACCACGAAGCCCCCCTTCTGGCTCCTCCTCTTCCTCCTCAATCTCAGGGGGAAAAAGCTCATCATCCTTCTGTTCTTCTGAACTTTCCTCCTTGAGCTTGACCAGGTCCTTTGGGTATGTGTAAGCAGCTACTAGGGCGTAGCGGTAGTCGTTGTAGTCGATGTCTTCACCACACTCCTTCAGCGGTCCGATGACATCATAGCTGATCACATAGGCGCTAGGTGTCTCGACCCTTTTATGCTGTCTTCCAGTTGCTGACGCCATTACACATGTTTGGCACCTGCGATCGTACCTCATGTGTCCACTCCTGACGTGCTCCTTCCAGTACTCAAGCTGCTTGTCAGACATGTCCGCAAATCGCCGAGGTCCACGCATTGCCCTGAGTCTACAGGTTGGTGGTTGCTTTCTCCATTCCAGCACCGCATTCACGAGGTCGCCGTCATTGGCACACACTTCTTCGAGAGGAAGAGATGTTAATCCCTTGGTTGCTGCGCCCTGAATTTGTCCAGCAATCCTTTCCATCATGTTGCTTGCAGCGAAATCATCCCACACACCTTCAGTTCCCAAGAGCTCTTCACCTCCCTCGGAAAGCCTTGCTTCGAAATATGGCGCTGGTGCATACACTCTCGTCGCAGCTTCCTTGGCCACCTCCCACACCATCATTTGCTTCAGCATTAACTCATCCCTGTAGTTGCTCCATTTGGATGGACCACCGATGATGCCTTCGATTCGGTTGGTGGCAGCTCCCCAAAGAAGTGCGCGATACACACCTGCCACCCTCTTCAGGTTCAGAGACTTGCTCAACTCCGAGTCCAAATTGATGACCACGACGTCCGGACCTTCGAGCAACTTATACTCCACAGGCGTGCCCTTGATGCCCTTGTTGCAAATCCTCACCACCCACCTCGCTGTCATCATTCTCTTCCGCGTTTTCCGGTTCACGGGAAGCGCTGCGAGGTAGTTCCAGCCAGCCTTGTCGCTGATGTTGATTTCTTCCGCCAATGAGGACTTGATGGTTTCAGGCACCCCCTTGTAGATGGAGTCGTCGGAATTGATGGCCGCCAGCAGAGAGGTGCGTTGTCCCTGACTTACGTAGTCCTTGAGGTACTTCTTGAAGTTGTTGCCATTTTCCATACCCTTCAAAGACTTCTTGCCCTCGGAGGTGTGCCGCTTCAGGTCCTCAAGCTTCTTGTCCTCGAGCTGCTTGATGAGGGTTAAAGCCTGGGCCTCAGACACTGTTGGACATGATCCAACCACGCTGGTTTTGATAGGACCCCACTCAGGATGAGTGACCACCATTCCATGCTTCTTGGTCCACGACACCCTGCAGCCAAGCACTTCCACCAGAGCTCCCAGTGGCACGATTGGTGACGGCATTGTTGTTGATGTTGTCTTGGTTGGAAAGAGCGTGCCGTTCCTTGCTTGCTTCAAAGTGACCATGCCCCCATCTGCAAGCTGAACAGACACGGTTTCAGCACCCGAGAGTTCCTCGTCAGTCGCAGCCCGAAAAGGATGTGATGCCCCACTGTCCAGCAGGCCTGCTCGCCCTGGTAGACCGTCACTCAACTCACGAAGACCTTCTACCGTGAACGCTGGTGGACTCATAGGCTTGACCATCATCTTCAGCTGTCTCATCTCCTTCAGCATGGCTTGCGCCTGTTCCATAAGTTCCTTGATGCCATCTGGCCCCACTGGTTCACCCAGTACCACTGAAGGTGTGTCCGACCCCCCTTGGCCTGTCGAAGATGCTGCAGGCTCAGACGGGACCCCAGCCCTTGCAGTAGTCAACGTAGCCATGCTCGGAGTAGCTGTGCTCGAGGTGGCATTGTTTTCGGTGGGCTTCGTTGGCTGGCCCTTGGGCTTCGCAGCGGGCGCTCGTCCTTCTTGCCTCGGGCAATCCTTTCCTCGATGCTGCTTAGCTCCACAGGTCCAGCACCGAGAAGTTCTGTCCTTCTTATCCACGAACTCGTGCTGAAAGGAACACGCCTTGCCCTTCTTGCACCCGAACTCACTGGAGAAGAACTTGCATGGGATCTTCCCTTCCTTCTTTGGCGATTCTCCTCCATCTGTTCCACTCTTCGGCGAACCCTCAGAGGAGATACCCTTCAGGACAGGAGGCTGTTTGTTCCGCCCACGATATGCCAGCTGCTCATACTCGCCCAACAAGTTTGAGTGGTACTTTTCCACCGCATCCAATGTCGGGCTTGCGTCCAGGTCCAAGGTGTAGCGAACCAAATTCAATCTGAAACTCACCTCAGGCTGCGACTCGTTGACCCTTTTCACCGCTTGGTCCAGGCCTTTCAACAAGATGCTTGCGTCCGGCGCTTGCAGCCCCAAATCTCTGGACCTCTTCAACCACCTCGCCCACCGCCTCAGGGAGTCCACCACTTCGAGTGGTGTTGTTGCCGCCCCAGGTTTAGACAAAGCCTTCAGGATCTGCTGTCTCTCGGTGGCCGATCCTGGTCGGTACAAGGTGACAATCCTGGCCAGGACCTCCAGGGTGGTTGTCAGGCGATTTGCAAGCACTTCTTTCTTCACCGACTCCGGAATGGCCTGCAAAACCATCCCACATGCTCTTTTGTCCAAGCGAGTCCAGCGAGCCGATAGAAGATCTGCTGAGGCATAGTCCAGGACCTTCATGCTGACCTTCTGCACTGCACTTGCAGCCAAAAAGCCCCCATAGTATCTTTCCAATGTCGCCATCACCTCCTGCCACCATTGGCTTGAAGTGTCGCTCAAATCTCCCATCGGTCCGCCCAGAGCATGTAGCCAATCTCCAACATCCAGCGCTGCGGTTTCACCCATTTCCGGAAGTTTCGCTAGCTCTGATCCCGTGACCCCAGGCTTCACCGCCTCAGGCTTGGACTTGTCTGGAGACAGCTGAAGTGCCATAGCTTGCTGCAGCTGCGCCATTCCTTGGACGAGGACACTCAGTGGATCCGCTGTTGATGATGTTGGTTGCCCTGCCCGGCCTTCACCAGTTGAGCCAGCATCACGATGTTCTGCCCTTGGCGCTGTCGACGGACCCTGCGGTGTTGTTCCTGGCATCCTGCTGCCTGGCAAATAAGACGACCCAGACATTGCTGCTTCACTGACCATATTAGCGGGACCTGATTGGTTGACGGGATTGCCTCGAGGTACGGTTGAACTCTGCGGTACAAAACCTAGAGCTCCTAGCAGCCCACTTGCACGACTCTGTTGTTCGGGAAGCTGACTAGGTGGTACCTCAGGACGGTGTGGTTCAGTCTCATGTACTCGTACTGCAGAGGGACCTGATTGGTTGACGGGATTGCCTTGAGGTACGGCTGAACTCTGAGGTACTTCACGATCCTCCAAAGCCCGTGCTTCAGCAGCCCTTTGCAAACGAAGGTTCTCTTTCTTCAGCTCCTGCAATTCCACATCACGAGCTTCCAAGGCCCTTTGGATTTGCCTCTGAACTTCAGCTTGAACCAGTTCCTGAGGAATCGAACCACTATCCGACGACGAGTGGCCTGCATACCCACTCGACCGAGGATGCAAAAGCGGTGCACGATCTGTCCATTGCTCCATCATTCGCACCTCGTCTTGTCCGAACAGCGGCTGCTCACTTTGCCCAGCATTCCCATGACCATTTGCCCATGTCGTCGGCATTGGAGGTGTCCTGGGAGCTGGCCTAACGGCTTGCCCCTGAGTAGTTGCTTGCATCACAGGGGTCATCAGGGCCGAAGCTTGCGATACTCGACGATGTAGAAACTCACCCAGCCTTGATAGCCAAACAGTTTCTCGCACTGCTGTCATCGCAGGGGAAGCTCCAAGCGGGCTTCTCTGAAGCTCCTCTGGTGGCGAAAACTCCATTTGTCTCACCTGTTGGCTCTGTTGCATCTCCCCGAAGTTTCTCATGGCTCCAGTTTCTGCAACCACATCGCCATGCTGCACCATGACACGCTGTCCTTCTGTGGCCTCCAATCCGGTTATCGCGTTTTCGTTAACTGCACACGCACCGCGCGCTCCGATTCCGGTTGCCACATCCGCACCCATGGCTGCACTCGTACCATTCATCATGGTGCCATAGGCCGGCCCAGCATTCTCTCCATCCAAAAACGTAGCGGAAGTCTGCGCAGGGACACCCGATTGGGCGCCCATAACCTGATGATCATCAAAGGCCGGCGAGGCCCCGACAGACATGTCCATGGCAGCAAAGGCTTCGAATTGAGGATTCTTTTTCGGCCAAAAACCTGAGCTTCATGCTGTAAGTACTTTACATGGCTTTCGTCGCCTTCATGGCCTTCATGGCCTTTATCGCCTTCATAGCCTTCATGGCCTTCATGGCTTTCAAGCCCTGTACGTGGCCCCAAGACCACACCCCAAGCTCCGCTTGGGCCATACATCCGCTGAGGATCAGGATATGCACCTTGGCCGCTTGCAAGGGTTTAGGGTTTAGGGTTTAGGGTTTAGGGTTTAGGGTTTAGGGTTTAGGGTTTAGGGTTTAGGGTTTAGGTAGGCCCTCCCTAAACCCTAAGGCCTAAACCGCCTGCCCCAGGCAACGGGGTTCCTCACCCTAGATATGAGGCTTTGCGAAAAATAGTTCTAGGGCCCTTAAGGGGGAGGGTTTAGGCTTTAGGGTCTAGGGTTTAGGGTTTAGGGCCTTAGGGTTCTTGGGGGTAGGTACCGAGGGAACCTTCTTAGCGAGCCTTGCGGAGTAGTGGGGAGAATTAGGGAACCCTGAGTTGCATGTGCACAGTGAAACCCCCCCTACCTTAAGAACTTTTTAATAAGGGCTAGAGTATGTCAGGGGAACATTGAGTTATGGAGGTTCGAGCCAAGGGTTGAGATCCCCATCCCACTGGACTTCAGGGCAAGGGCTATGCGGTTTAGGGTGTAATTAGGGTTTATGCTCGACGAGAAGTGCTCCGAATACTGTGCCCGGCAGGGCGTTGCTGCTGGGTTATCACTTCGTCAAGGATCCCAAAGCGGCAGTACAAAAGCTCAGCATCCAAGAACTCCTGGACGAGTTTGACTCCGCCGAGGGGAAGACATTCCTCGAGGCTTGCAGATACCTGAACATGTCAAACGAGGACCTCGAGCGCAATCAAGATGCGACGCCGCAGGCCGTCAAGCGGTACCTCCACTTCTTTACCCTAGTAGTAGAGTAGGTAACGATTAATCTTTTTGGGGTAGCAGAATTCCATGTTAATCCCAAAGGTTAACCTTTGGTTCCCCCAGGTTACTGGACAGCTAAGTTACGACTCCGGAGGCCCTAAACCCTGAACCCTAAACCCTTAAACCCTAAAGAGGCCAAGAAGGAGCTCTGCTTCAAGAAGTCTCCTCCTAGCAGCGGAAGCGGATCGTTGGTTGAGGGTGTAGGGTGTGAACTTTGAACCCTAAACCGCCTAAACGGTAGACCCAGCCATCTGCATATAAACCTTAATTCCTGGACCCTAAGCGCTAAATCCCAAACCCTAAACCCAAAACCCCAAACCTCAAACCGCAAACCCCAAACCCTAAACCCCAAACCCTAAACCCGAATTAACCCCTAAACCCTAAACCCTAAACCCTAAACCCTAAACCCTAAACCCTAGACCCTAGACCCTAGACCCTAGACCCTAGACCCTAGACCCTAGACCCTAGACTCGACCCTAAACCCTAAACCCTAACCCTAAGCCTTATACCAAAAACTCAGTAGGTTTTTCAACGTCCTGAGCGGCATCTTCGGTGCCTTTCTGCTGCTGAGCCTGCTGGTGCCAGCCTGACAGCCAGGGTTCAGGGTTCAGGGTTCAGGGTTTAGGGTTTAGGGTTTAGGGTTTAGGGTTTAGGGTTTAGGGTTAGGGTTTAGGGTTCGTTTTGTTGCAGGGCGCCTGGGATTGAAGGGTTAGGGTGAACGGTTAAAGGGTTTAGGGTTTAAGGATTTTAGGGTTCAGGATTTAGGGGTTGAGGGTGTAGGGCTTCAGTCAGGGTTTGAGGGCGTCCAGGGTTTAAGGGTGTTTAGGGTTTGAGGATTTAGGATTCAGGATTTAGGGTTCAGGGCGCCTAGGGGTAAAGGGTTAGAGGGTTTTGGGGTTCAGGATTTCGCGTGTAAGGGTGTAGGGTGTGAAGGTTCAGGGTCCAGGGCTTTAGGTTTAGGGTTTCACGGATCTTTTTGGGATTCTGCGGTTTGTTGATGGGGTTGGGCTCTTCGTATGGATTCTAAATTGTAGGGGGGGGGGGGCCCTACAATCCCTATTCAGGACTGTGAGTACAAGGGGGAACATCCCAAGTTTAGGATTTCGGGTGTAGGGTTCAGGCCCAATAGCCCCAACCCTAAACCCTAAACCCTAAACCCTTAGAACCGTAAGGGACGGTATCTTGGACGCCTAAGGTGGTACCCTTGGGGTTGGCACCCTGTTTAAAGATTCCTAACCCTAAGCCCTAAACCCTAAACCCTAAACCCTAAACCCTAAACCCTAAACCCTTGATTGTAGGACTCAGCTCCCACCGTGGTTGCCACAGCATCCCAGCCGAGCTGGATTCCTTTGACGCTAAAGAGCCTACACCCTACATGGGGGTGTAGGGTTTAGGGTTTAGGGTTGAGGGTTCGGGCCTATGGATTCTTTGGTGCTCTACCGTAACTTTAGACCCTTCGCCTGTTTGGGATTACTGGGTTGCTTAGCAAGGCTATGGACTCTGTGTTGTGGATCCTTCGCCTTCAGGTAGCTAGAAGTTCTATAGCTACCCTGCTAAGTGCAGCCAAGTGGAGCTCATAAAGGACTACCAGACAAATGCGAAGATCTTGGTGGATAAGTTCACCACGGCAAAGAAGTTTGCAGAGATGGGGTTTGGGGTTTCGACCGATTTCGACGGTCAACGTGAAGCTCGGCGGGAAGACCTACCCCTTTGTGCTGGAGCCTTCCAGCACAGTCAAGGACATCCGCATCGCGAAGGAGTTGAAGATGAAGAAGGGGATTAAAGAAAGAAACAAAAGCTCAACCCCAAACCAAAAAGCCTAGCTGCCAAAAAGCTATCCGCATCCTCGACACCAACCTTTCGCTCTTCGAGACCCATCTCCTTACTTGATTATGTTTAGGGTTTCGGGTTCAGGGAAGCCATAGCGTGTCATAAGCCCAATCCATAACCCAATGGCTGCCTTTGATCTCCCCTGCATAGGGGGGTTAGGGTTTAGATCTTGGGATTTGGTCTATGGAGTTAGGGTTCATGGGGGTTGGGGTTAGGGTTCATAGGGTTTTGGGGTTTAGAGTTTTGGGTTTTGGGTTCATGGGGTTTAGGGTCCATGGAGTTGTGGGGTGTTGGGGCTTTGGGTTTGGATTCATGGGGGGGGGGGGGGGGGGGGGGGGGGGGGGGTGCTGTGAAAGGTGGCAGCGTGGAAAGTCACGCGCACGCTGCGCGAGTGGTTTACCGAGCTGCGCGTGATCTGCCCATGGCTCAGTTGCCCCACCTGGGTACGTACGAGTGCGTTGGAGAGTCGGTTGTTCGGGGCTTAGGGTTTAGGGTTCTAGAGGGGTTCAGGAGTGGGCTCAGAGATAATTACGGGTATGCATGTATATTCATTGAAGGGTTGCAGGGCTTGCTGCCCATGGGCAGGAACGCAGAACAACAGGGCAGAGACAAAGCACGGTCCAGAGTGGAACGATGAAGTTAAACGCCCGAACCGCTACAAGCCTAAAGCTTAAAACCCGCGGCCAAAGCACCAAACCCTAAACCCCTACACCGCAAAACTTGCAAAACCCTGATACCTTACATTAAACCCTAAACCCAAAACCCCAAAACCCCAACACACCAACACCCCAAAACCCCAAAACCCCAAAACCCCGAAGCACTAAGGTTTGCAACATCCGAAGAGCGGCCAGCTCCAATATGTGGACCGGGCGGGGGCCTCCAGAAATGGGGCACCCCTGGAATCGGTTTAGGGTTTAGGGTTTGGGTTTAGGGTTCAGGGTTTAGGGTTTAGGGCCAGGGTTTAGGGTTCAGGGGGTCGCTCCGATCGACTTTATACACCTTGCCGGTTGATGTTGCAGTGCTGCCAGGTTTGACAGTGTCGGTTTTTTTCTAGAGAGTATGGGGGGCTCGTAGGACCTATATACTAGGGTTACAGACGCTGTGGGGTTTCTAGGGCTTATCTCCTAAACCCTAACACCTTCACACCCGAACATCCTAGGGGTTTAAGAGGTAGAAGTGCGGGGGGGGGGGGGGGGGCGAGCTGGTCCTAGTGTTTAGGGTTGAGGGTTTAGGGTTTAGGGATTCGGGTTCCTGCTGAGATTCAAAGCATATGCAGTGGAGGATTGATGAGGCTTGGGAGTTGCTATAGGCATCTCTACTTAACACAGCAGGGCTTCGAGTGGTTTAGGGTTTAGGGTTTAGGGTTTAGGGTTTAGGGTTTAGGGTTTAGGGTTTAGGGTTTAGGGTTTAGGGTTTAGGGTTTAGGTGTTCTGATACTTCCCGGTAAGATCCGCCATGCGCGCGTTTTGAAGACTCACAGTCACAAACCCTAAACCGAACGATTTGGCGAAATGGAGCCCCTAGTTTCAGCTACCCCAGACGCCTAAACCAATTGATTCCTGGCCCCGAAAGCCGAAACGCATCGGTTTAGGTAGGGTTTAGGGTTAGGTTTAGACGTGCTGGGCGGTTGCTAGGTGCAGGGTTGACATCCCTGAGAACTAAACTCCAAACCCTGGGCTTTTAGGGGGTTTAGGGTATAGCGCTTTAACCCTCCGACTTTTGAAGCCGAGGTGTGCGATCAGCTGTGCGCTTTGCCCTTCGTGCCTGGCGAGACCAGGCCTCTGCCAAGACCCTGCCAAACTGGAAGCACGATTTTTTTCGGACCGTACATTTGGGCTTCAGAAAGGTTCAGGGTTTAAGGTTTGGAGTGTAGGAACCCACTTAGGGCCCAAGTATATACTATATGTGCACTCTGAACCAACCTCGCCGATGTGGAGGCTGCTCAACATCGAGGCAGAATAATCCGTATTATTCGCAAGAACAGCTGTTAGTAGAGCAGGGCATGATGATTCTGGCCATGATAGTAGTCTTCACCATTGCACATATTGATGTATGATGACGACTGCTTCGGGCTCTAAACCCGAAACCCTAAGCCCTAACCCTAAGGAACCCGAGCAAAGCTCGAGCCATGACAAGCTTGAATGTCCCCCAAACCCAAAGCCCTAAGCCACAAACTTGAATATCCCTAAACCCTAAACCCT